AGGGGCCTAATCTGCTGTGTTTATTTGTGAGTTTCTGAAGCTTCTGTGAGTGAAGGACATCTATTCTCTAGACAGAAGAAACTCATTGACATCACTGCAACGGACTGACAAAGAAAACACAAAACAAAGAGTGGTTTCATTTATGGTCTTTTTTTTCTTCTTTTCTGTGATATAAGAGAGAAGCCTAGAAAAAGGGTCCTCAAAATATTTATGAAAGAAAAGGGGAAAGACACCTCACCTCTTCCTGTAGCTTTACAGGAGAAAAAAAGCCTTATCTGTGGCTGTGTAAGAAGACTGGCAGGCCACCTTCTGTGAAGTGAACTATTGCATAGACCCCTGCTGTTCCTGTATCTGGACATACCAGTCTGAAACAGCAGTGAATCCAAGAAAGGAAGAACCCTCATCTCCACACAGGACCATGTAACCCCTGAACTCTGGCAGTTCATGGCCATGCCCGCTGCCCTGGGGAGCTGTGCCATGCCCACCACCCTCTGGGGTACAGCCTTTCCCTGACCCCCCGACCCTCCCCTGGCACAGCCCCATGCCGTTCCGTCTGTCGCTGTCACAGAGCAGAGCTCAGTGCTGCCCTCCGTTCCCTGTGAGAGCTGCAGCCACCGTGAGGCCTCCCCTCAGCTACTGTGCCATGGGCTGAGCAAACCCCAGAGGCCGCAGCCACTCATCAGGCACTTTACCACTTTACTATGAGGGACCTGAGTTGGGCAAGGTAAAAATATGCTCCATTTGCCCTATTCTGTTTTCTCAAAAACTGGAAAACCATCTGCCCCGGATGACTTCCATTCAGCTCTGAAAACATTGCACACAACAGCTGAGATCAGAGAGGACAAAACACAGGGCTGGTGGAGCTCTTCTTCTGTCAAGATGTGCCTGCAGACTTCGGAAGCAGAAAATAACATCAGAAGGACAATCTATTGTGCCTTGCAAATAGGCTAGAAGGCTTTAATATCCCAACAATAGCTAAAAACATCTGACCTTTATTAGGCATCAGAAACGGAAACCATGGTGCCATGTTATCGAGGAGATTCCTTGAGGCAGGATGTGTGGCTGGATGTTAATTTTCTCCTCTCTGCCTATTTCGGACCTCCACTCTAGCTCTCTGTTGCTTGTAATCGCTAACAGCTCCACAGCAAAGAGAAACAAAAGATAACATAAGGGATAAATAGATGTTTCAGGACCCATTTCAGGTGTGCCCCCAGTCTATTAAATTAACCATAAAATTCTGCAAAGTGGGCATCCAGTTTTCCATTAGTATTTCAGCCATGACTTGCAAAAACTCAGCTCTGAGGAAAAAAAAACTACTAGCATTCAATATTCAATAATTTTCCACACCAGGGAATAAGCTGAGATCAGTAGTTTCACTTCACTAACAATGTCTCTCCAGTTATTAATTAACGATAATGCTCAGTCAACCTGCATACAGAAATACACAAAATACAGTCTGTATACTGTATAGGTATACTGTAAGTGATCCTCTGTCAGCATAGCAAGTGAGACTCTGCTCCAAAAAACAGAGGTAAATAGTGTCTGCATTTCACCAGTGTGAAAAAGTAGGAATACTACCTGCATTAATGTTGTGATATTGCCAGCGCAGGATTAAGGAATCATAGAATCACTAAGGTCAGAAAAGACCTCCTAGATCATGCAATCCAACTTTCCACTTACTACCAATATCTCCTCCCTAAACCACATCCTTTAGTAGAACATCTAAAAGTTTCTTGCACACAGAAATGCAGTACAGCACAAAGCTGCAATATAGCCTCATGTAAAAATAGATAGGAACCAGTCCTCTCAGCTGCTTAAGTGAAATGAGTTGGGTGATCCCACATGTCTTTGGAGTGGATAGTTATCCACATTTTAAAGTAAAAAGTACTAATGACATTTGAAGCTAGTATTGGATGGAGAGTACTGCAGATTCATGAGCGACGCCAAGGACAGAATAAGAACAAAGACTAACCAATACTTCCAGCAGTTCCTACACAGCACATAATGAAGTTCATCACTTGTTGTCCTTGAAGGCTGCTCTGAACAGAGGATGCTCACATGGAGCAGTGTTTGATGGGTACCTTGGCTGGATCAGCTTATTTGGCTACTTGTAATGGATGAAGGAAAGTGAGAGTGCTTGAGTGGGAGAGTAAGTGGGGAACAAAGCTGGAGGATTTATGTCTGATTGAATATGAAGGATTTTGGCTGTAAACAAGGGGATTGTGTCTCCACTCTCTATATAAATTTATTTTCATTGCAGTATTTTCATTTTAAATACTGAGCTTTATTGCTCTTATTTTACATGACTGTTTCTCTGTTTGAACTTCATTTCCTCTAGTATATATGCTATTTTTAAGTCTTAAATTTTTTTCAGTGAATAATTTGAACAATTTCCCAAGATTATTTTTTTCAGCCACATTGTTTTCCCAGTCTTAAGGCAATCCTTTACATTTTGCTACAGAGGTTGACTATATCACCATGTTAGTTCTGCTTCTGCAGGAACACCAAGAACATGCTACTGACATATATGGGACCAATCTAGAGTCAGATCTAGCTGGTGCTAGTAAAACCAATATCTGGAGTCTTTCTGGTAAAGGGGGTTATAAGAAATAAGGTGAAAGATTCTTTGAGCAGGGTCTGTTGTGTTAGGACAAGGGCAAATACTTCAAACTTGAGGAGAAGAGGTTTAAATTAGATATAAGAAAGAGGTTTTTTATAATTCAAGAGGTGAGGCACTGGCACAGGTTGCCTCCTCCCTGGAGACATTTTCAAGGTCAGGCTGGATCAGGCTCTGAGTACCTGATACAGCTGTAAATGTCCCTGTTCACTGCCGGGGAATTGGACTAGATGGCCTCTAAGGGTCCCTTCCAATTGAAGCAGTTCTATGATTCTAGGATTCTGTGATACTGAGTAAAGAGAGGGAGGCAAGCTGGCAAATTCTGACAGCCAACGTTGGGTCAATGGAGAGTAAAATGAATTTAAAAGTCTATGCATTGTTTAAAATTATGCATAAAGATCTGTGTTTCCATCTTTAATACTTTATTTGTTCATATATAAGACAGTTCTTCACATACAGCATTCTGCTAAAGTTCTGAAACCTTTCTAAAAGTGCTTAAGAGACGTTTTCTAGTTGCCATTGCTGCATAACACATGAGGTTGCACAGAAATGCAGCACTGCACAGAAGAGGTGGCCACTGATAGTACATAATGCAACACAGTCCCTGTGTATTCCAGAACTGATGATGCTGAAACCATAGAAATGGATGTGTTTGAAAAGTACCTGAAACAGACTACAAATACAGCATGGCGACATTTGAGGAGAGTACTGCAATTTTGTTGCATTTAGTTAGGAACATACCCACTTTTGTTTTACAGAGAAACTATTTTAAAATGTTCTCCCTGATGCCCTTCGGTCTCCATCCGTAAATTTAAAATGCTTTTAATCAACTATTTTGGAGATAACTGATAATCTTTTCTTTAGAAATGTATGTTTTATTAAGCAAATAGTGCCATTTAGGATTTCACATTTCAGAAGGTGCCAAGTACCATTTTCACTTACCAAATAAGCAAAAGATGAGTTTTGGGGTAGTAAGGTTCCAAATAAGGTTTCCTGCTCAAGGGGAACTGTAAATACAATGAGCAAGGAGAAAGCCCAGGCAGATGTGATCAGGTGGCACAGGTGGCACAGATTGCACAGATATTGTTTTTTAAGCATCTGTGAGATGTGCTAACCCCTTGCTGTATGAAAAACTACTCTTAGAAATCTCTTCAAGAGTGATACCCACCTGAGAGAAACTCTGTCCTAAAGGAAGATTTGTTCTGTATCAGGTAAAATACATCACAAAGCAGGACCATGGAATACATCCTGAGTTTACCCTAAGAAGGAAGCAGGGATTTCAGTTTGTCAGGAAAATACCTAGAGATGGGCAACAGTGTGGATTAAGAAATTTTGAGTCAAAAAAGTTGCATTTATTTATTTATTTATTTAACCATGGCCCCTATCTCTACAGTTTCTTTGGGAGAACTTGTCATAGTTTCATAGCCATGTTACAGTGATGTACTTGTCAAAGAGACAATGAAGATGTCACAATGTACAACCTGTACTGGGCTGAATTTTCATGCTGAACTTGATCTGCATTCAAAGAGGTGAAGTTACGGATCCCTTCTGTAAGCTTGGATTGGGCTGCTAAATAATTCCTCAGATTCAGGTGCAGCTAGAGGTGAAAACTGGGTAAGTGCTGGGGACTAAGGAATGGCAAACGCTCTTTATCTCTGTGGGTAGGAGATACCATGTTCAACAAGTGGATCTTCCTTTGCTAGAGGAACCAAAGCCTGAAAGAGGGCAGAGTGGAGATCCTCGGGTTGCTGTGCTATGTATGTACTTTCAAAGGATGAATTTATAATAAACTTTAGGGAGATATCTTTCAGAAGCACCCCATGTATTTGTATTCAGGTGGCCTTCATCCCTGTGCTTCCAAACTTACTATTGCCCCACCAAAATTTCTCATTCATCTCTATTCTCTGACATTCAGCCAGGGCTGGATTTGTTCTTGGGGGAGGATTGTATTGTGAGAGCACAAGAAAGCACAACATACATGTGTGATTCAATTCTGTCAGCTGTGTACTGTTGCTCGCAATACACTTAATTTTCTTCTCTTGTGAGAGAAAATAGCTTTCTTAAAAACACCAAACCAAACCAAAACAAAAAACGCTCATGTGACCAATATCAGCGTGGTTTTAGATCAAATTCCACAGGTTATTAATTTTATCTATGATTTAGACAATGCTGCTATGCTTTATAATACAGAAGTAGACTGCAAAATGAAATGCATACAGTCATGAGTTTATTAGGTACTGCAAATGGCCACTTTTCATGTTAACAGATTATTTTGTCAGTGGTATGAGGAAAGAAATGGTGACATATTAAGAAAAAATTCTAACAGATCGGTCACCAAGTGTCATTTCATTTCTGTTTTTTCTTTTAATTTACCTCTAGCAATTCCCTGAAGGACCTGGCTTCTTTTTTAGTCCTCTAAAAAATCCCTGAGTTTCTCCTTTCATCTGGAGCCTCCTTGGATGCTATAGATCTGTCATCTCACCTAATCTACAAAAGCTTCACAAATTTTCAAGTAACCATTATAAGGCTTGAGGAATGCTCTACTGAAGGAAAATTATGAGAGCACTAGGATTACTCTGCTCTCAGGAGGTACGACTGAACAAAAATCAATCATAGGAATTAAAAGCTTTTGGCAAATAAATAATTCATGCATGCTAAATTAATTAATGAATTTCCTGGACAGGCTCAACACATTTTCCTGGGTTACATCAGCACAGCCAGAAGAGCTCTTCCATCTTTGCTACGCACGGTTCTAATTCAGATTTGGAAACAGGTTACTACTTTCATAACTTTTGAGTGTCTGTGAATGGCTTTATTTTATTTTATTTTTTCTTTCTAATAGTCAAAAAAAGGCTATGTACATTTTACTCTTTCTTCCCCCCCCACCCACTGCAAGATACTGAAGCAAAGCAACTGTTTCTTCATCAGCACTCTGATGACAGCTCTGAATAGAGTTGACATTTACATAAATGGATTGCAGTGCAGTTGTTGAACACATATAGGGATGAATCTCTAATCCCATTTTAATTAGATGGATGTTGCATGCATACAAAAATCACAAGCCTCTCTCCGCGTGGTGATGCCACACTGGCAAGGAATCAATCACTGGGGCCCAGGTTGCCATGGAAACTGATTGCTCCTGCACCACCATCTAAGTGGCAAATGATTGGTGGTGTACACATGGCGCGGGGAGAGCAATGAGTTTTTATATCCTGTCCAGCAGATGTGCCAGAGAGTTAATTAAAAGCAGGGAACGTGAAATAAATCTAAATCTGTGAAGAAATGAAATATACGGCACAAATTGAATTCCCGTGTTGGACAGAAATTAATATGCAGCACAAACCTCTGAGCGCCTGAATAAGCAGCAGCAATGAATCCCAGGAACCAGCACCTCTGTGGTAGATAAAGCCTGAATGTAGAGAGAGTTCCTCCTCATCTTATTACCAAAACAGCGCTTCCTTCACTGCCTGTGTTGAGTGATGCATGCAAATTGCATTCTTAAATGCTAAGGGTTTGCACAAAGGCAGGAAGGACAAAGCTTAACTAAGATTTAATTAGCAAACTGTTAGCAGCTGCAGTTTATCATATCTGAACACGGTGTAAGTAAACATTTGTGCTGCTGTACCCAAAATCACCAGACAACTGCTATGAAAGTCAATGTGTTCTTACTGATAAGCCGTGAATTCCAAACTCATATTTGAAATATCACTGGTATGGTAGCTGCCCCTAAAATGTTTTCTGAGAATAGAATTATTTTGGCATAACATATTTTCCAGCACAGTGGGATGCAGCTGATCAGGCATGAAATGGTGAAGGTGTGAGGCTGCCTCAGCCCAGCCCTCCCTCTCGCTCCGCATCGCCACGAAGCAGGCAGATTTCAGCAAAGGAGACTGCACTGCTCCTCCATGCTGGGAAGTGTTTAACTGCTTGCACATGACGAGCATGGAGAGCAGCCACAGAGGCAGCAGCTCCACATCACCCAGCACAGCTGGAGAAAGAGGGAAGGAGCACTGAGGAAGTTTTGTTGCATTACCAGATGCAAGCGTATCATCATAGTCATCTTCTGACTGATTGGCCAGTTATCTTCAAAGGCTGCAAGCAGAAGTGACTTTGGCATTTCTTACGTCTGAGTTTTTTTAAGTGTTTTGTGTCTTTTATCAGCTCTAAGTGTGGAATATTTTTGTGATTTTTCATGCTAAGCTGCTGAGTTGGCCCTGTTGTGATGTGTCCTGATTGTGTTTTAACTCAATGATCCTTATGGGTCCCTTCCACCTTGGAATATTCTGTGATTCTACAACTCTTTCTCAAATCCTGTTTTCCTTGCCTGTCGGTGAAGAAGCTTCCACTTGATTTCTACTGGTGGAAGTCTGGTGATTTTTCTCTGAAATTTAACTGGGAAAGGCAAGGCTGTTGAATCTATTTATTGAGATAAGGCTTTGTATAGTACTGTACCGCTGCACACTTCAACACTGCTGATCATTGTTTTGTAAAAACAAATACTAGTTCTAAAAATTGCTTCATTTTGACTTTAAAATCTGAAGATCATAATAAGAGTCCACGGCCACTTCAGTAGATGTTTTACAGCTACCTTTGGAGGACAAATAATGAACTTCACTCAAAAGGCAGTTCTGTAAATTTCCTAGTAATCTCTCACTGATGGACACTCTTGATTTGCCATCATCAAATTGCATGGTCAGTCTAGCAGTTTTATGTTAATTCCATGTCTATTTCCAATAACAAGATCTTTTTTTGTATTTACAACTTACACTTAAAAATGTATGTGCAAAATTTTCTGATTTTTTTTCTCATTACCAGTATGTTTCCCCCCAAAAATATTTTTGTGTAGTAATGCTTCCTTTTTTTGTTCTAGATGTTGGCAAATTTCTGTAAAAAAGAAAAATCTCTGCTTTGAATGAAGTCACTTTTCAATAAAACCAATTTTTCAAATCAAAAGCAAAGTTACAAGAGAACAAGGTGAAAATTAAGAAGCAATTTATAGACCTCCTGTGACATTGTGTGCATTTTGCACCAACTTATGGTGATACTAGGAAGCTTAATTTAATACTGATTATTCCAGAGAACCCAGGTGATAGTTTTCTAGGCTTTAATTGTATGGTTTTTATGTGTGACTGGTTGAAATCTAAGTCAAAGAGAATATGAGCAAGAATTCCCAGATGGTGTGTAGTCACTGATGTTACACAGCTGAGAGTTATAAACTGATAGACTGATACATATTACTGCTTACCTGAAAAATGAACACGTCATGGCACACCACACTGACTTTTAGCTTGGAAAGACTCCCTCTGGCATAGGTAACATGTAAAGAAAGGCTTAATTAGACATAATGAGGCACTTGCTTCTATACAAAAATGAGGAAAACTAGAGCACACTATTTTCAGTTAAATTAATCGCATATATCAAATGAAGTAGCTGCTGACCTTCTTGCTTTAGCTGCATCTACTTTTGTCTGTGTAGCTGAAGAGACATCACACAGTGGATGCCAGTGATCTGTTTTTCCTCATGTGTAGAGTAGCTCAGAGAGAATTACTGGCCTGGTAGGTCAACCATTTGTTAGATTATGCTCAGAAATTGAGTGCTAGTACTGTAAACATACATTTGTGAACTATTGACCAATACTAATTCTAGAAGTTATTCACTGCTTTAACTGCTTTATTATAGTGTTATTATTATGTTTTCTAAGGTCAGTAAATCATGCATAGAAAAAAGTTGAAGGATGCAACAAAAAAATATGTAAATGGTAATGACCTAATACAAAAAAATACCCTCTGAAATGAGTGTGTATTTGTGGGAGAAGATGTAATTTTGTTGAGTGAGTGTGCATGTGGGACAGAAGATATGATTTTGAACTTGCTTCTCATTTACATATCTGTGTACATGTTGACTCTAGTGGCAGTCCTTTCCAATGTAAAGTGTAAAACATAAAAAAAAAGAAGTGTAAAACAAAATGAAAGCAGAGAAGAGCCCTGTGATAAAATGAGATGCAAGTGGAATGATCAAACATTAAGTAGCTGCACTGCAAATCACAGGATATTGAGAACAGGATGTAGGTTGTCTGCCTGTGAAATGTGGGCATCCAGCACTTCCAGAGGATTTTGACTTTGGATAGATGATGTCACTGTGGTTTGTTATTACAACAGGCATTTCCATGTTTGCTCTGGCAAAACAATCCATGGGTTCTGTTGTCACAAAGAGCAGTCACTAGCTTGCTCACCACTGCTTTTATTCCACATCTTTTGATTAAAATTATTGTCTATCAGTATGTGTGCACGTCAGAAATGTTACATAAGGTTCTTATCTTCATTCAAAATTGTGCTCTCTGTCATTATTAGGAAGCTGTGCGCTATAATCTTGGGCCACACTCAAAGTTTAATTCTGTCTGCTTATATTCCACTGCTGAGGGTCAGATTTTCAAAAGACTTTAAAATAACCTGGTCTCCAAGCTCTCTGTCAGCAGGAAATTCAGTTCACTAAATGCCTCCAAAATACACCTTTGTTTTCAAAAGTGCAATCAGTGATGGATGGATGGAAGAAAATTTCAGTTTTCCAGCATTAATGGTGAAATTATCTTTGCTTGTTTTTTCAGGTAGGGTCAGTATTTTTTTCCCCTTTGTGTTCCTCAGTGCAGTGAATATGCAGGAAGATACCCAGAATCACCTTTATATTTTGTTTGTTTCCCCTTCTTCCTCACCATTTGCAAAATTTTATGTTACTTAAAAAATGCATTGCAATACAAATTAAACAGCAGAGATATCATCAGGTTTATCATTTTATCTATCTATTGTGAGCCTGCTAGTTTAGATCTAGTCTAGACCTAGTTACTAGCTGAACTGAGTAACTGAATATTCCAAATACAAGCATCAGTCTTTTAACAGTTAACATTATGACTTGTTGCTTGGTATAGGTGAAGTATTACTTCATATTATGTACTATCTTGTTGGTAGTGTCTTACAAATGCTGACCTCTACCATGAAAAACACATAAATTCATCTTACCATTCTTGTGCTAATACACTGGATAATAAAAAAAGCTGAAAGAGCCATATTATAACTCACTACAGAATTCCATAGCTTCAACATAACATTACAACGGCATGTCTAAAATAATACATCTATTTGGCCTGTCAGAAACAGGTGTGTCAGAAGAGTAATAGTTTCTTCACCTGAGTTGTGTGTCATTTGTCTTGATAACTCACTTCAAGATAACAAAGAAAGCTCTTCACTTGACAAGATCTGACACCTCCTGCCAGGGATAGTGCTAGGTGCAGAGCACTGGTCTAACTCAGGGTACCTCTACTTAGATTCTTCTTTAAATATAAGAATGTTGGTTTTCATTTCATAGAATCATAGAATGACCTGGATTGAAAAGGACCACAAAGATCATCTAGTTTCAACCCCCCTGCTATGTGCAGGGTCACCAGCCACCAGACCAGGCTACCCAGAGTCACATCCAGCCTGGCCTTGAATGACTCCAGGGATGGGGCATCCACAACCTCCTTGCACAACCTGTTCCAGTGCATCACCACCCGCTGAGTGAAAAACTTCCTCCTAATATCTAACCTAAATCTCCCCTTTCTCAATTTAAAATTATTCCCCCTTGTCCTTTCACTATCCACCCTTGTGAATAGCCATTCTCCCTCTTATTTATATGCTCCTTTCAAGTACTGGCAGGCCACAATGAGGTATCCCTGGAGCCTTCTCTTCTCCAAGCTAAGCAAGCCCAGTTCCCTCAACCTTTCCTCATTGGAGAGCTGCTCCAGCCCTTTGATCAT